TGAATTAAATGAAATCTACAGGTAGAACAAAATAAATCCAGAAACGCTAAAATAAAATGTTCTCTTTACAAGGAACATAGTATCCTTGGCTGTCCCTCAGTCCTGTTCTTGCCCTGCCTCAAAAATAAATAACCTCCTAGTATCTGAACAAAGACAGAACAAAAGAGTTTAAAACGAGGATAACTCCAAATCAGACTCTAAAGCAAACTCTCACTGCCTGGTTTTTCCAGGGGGAAATTCTGTTATGTGCTGCAGTAGCTTTGTTGTTACAACTGATTAGATCTGATGGATGGATCCACCTTTGTACTCATACTGTGGCCTCAAAGTGACATCCTGTGTTCAGATGCTGCATTGCCGCTTGATAACCTTGTTTGCACTTATGTGTGCTGAGTCAAGTAACAAGGTCTCCTGAAATCTGTGAAAGGGTACTGAATCCTCCCAAAAAGATCAGATGAAAAAGGGAAGGCGACCTAGGCTGGATCTACTCCGACCATACAATGGAGGATTCATACTGCTTTATATGGCAGTCCAGATGCAGTATAAGTATCCAACTAAACAGGTCAAAAACAGCAATGCTGTTCCAGAGTAGCATACCCTGGATCAGTGTTGCTATGGTCCACCAGGCCAGGCCAGCAACTGGATGGTGGTTGCATGGCCCAGTGGTTCTGGAACCATTTCAGTACCACTGGATTGCCACCTTTACCTTGCTCCCATATTTCTGGTCTTTGTGGTGCCCACCAGGTAGAAAAATGTCACTGGTCACCACTCATTGTTTATGGTAACAAAGTAGCATGAAAAATGGCAAGGGGAAAGGGAGAATCTCCTCCCCACCCCCTGCTCCCTTTCTCCAATCTCCTTACCACTGTGGTTAGTATCACTCCAGATACCAAGCAACAACACTACCAATTTCAAGCCTAGTGGACAAAAGCCAGAATGATGGGGACAAAGCAGGTACCATATTCTGATCCCTGGGAAAGCAGGATAGCTGTGTAAACAGCCGCAACCACTTCGCAAATAGGAAGTGGCCCAGCTGTTTACACTGGCCCAAAATGCAGACAATTTTTTAAAAATGCCCTGCTAAGCTCCTGCTAAACCCTGCTAAGCTCCAGAACTTGCTGACCAGAAGGTCGGCAGTTCAATTCCACGAGACAGGATGAGCTCCCGCTGTTAGACCCAGTTTCTGCCAACCTTCAGAAGGAAGGTAATGGTGCTTCATGCAATCATGCCGGCCACATGACCTTGGAGGTATCTATGGACAATGCCAGCTCTTCAGCTTAGAAATGGAGATGAGCATCACCGCCCAGAGTCAGACTCAAGTAGACTTGATGAGCATCACCGCCCAGAGTCAGACTCAAGTAGACTTAATGTCAAGGGGAAACCTTTACCTTTACCTTTAAATGCCCTATTAAATGGCCTTCTCCCATGTTATGGTGAATGGAATCTGTCCATCATTTGACCACTACAGAATCCATAAACCTCCAAAAGGACTCATATGGCCCATGTAGATGGGCCCGCAGCCAGTTTCCTCTTTTTGATTCATTTTTGCAAATGGATGACATGCATATCCATACAGACATATTGTATTTGGTAAGTGTTCCACTAGGAATAGCTGTAATTAACATTTCTTTAAGGAAAACGTTTTTTTCTTTTACAGTTTTTGCTTTGTTATTGAAAGAAACAATGAGTGGATATTCTTGAGAACTTTTTATCTTATGGCAATTATTTGAATGGTTTGAAATGTTGTCTATCTAGTTATATCCTCTTCAACATATGTATGTGTACACTTACTTACTTACTTACTTACTTACTTACTTAGGTGATCCCTCGTTGTCCGAGTAAGATTGTCCTCCAAGTTCAGTGTCCTGGCGATGGGTCCGTAGGTGACTGTGGAGCCCTATTCTTGACCTGCATGTTCTCCCGCACTGAGGGCATTGGTTTCCAAGTGGAAGGCGGTCTTGGTTGGGGTTGGCTTGACGTGGCTTCCTCTTGGCATGTTTCTCTCCCCCCTCCCCCATTTGTGCCCCTTCAAATTCTACAGCACTGCTGGTCACAGCTGACCTCCAGCTAGAGTACTCAAGGGTCAGGGCTTCCCAGTTCTCGGTGTCTATGCCACAGTTTTTAAGGTTGGCTTTGAGCCCATCTTTAAATCTCTTTTCCTGACCTCCAAGATTCCGTTTTCCATTCTTGAGTTCGGAATAGAGCGACTGCTTTGGGAGACGGTGGCCGGTCCAGCAGAGTTGATGACAGAGGACCATTGCTTCAATACTGGTGGTCCTTGCTTCTTCCAGCACACTGACATTTGTCTGTCTTCCCAAGAGATTTCCAGGATTTTTTGGAGGCAACGCTGATGGAATTGTTCCAGGAATTGCATGTGACGTCTGTAGATAGTCCACGTTTTGCAGGCATATAGGAGGGTTGGGAGGACAATAGCTTTATAAACAAGCACCTTGGTATCCCTATGGATGTCCCGGTCCTCAAACACTTTGTGCTTCATTCGGAAAAAGAGCTCAGGCAGTGTTGTATTTCAGTATCAATGTTGACTTTTGTGGAGAGGTGGCTGCCAAGGTAGCGGAAATGGTCAACATTTTCTAATGTTATACCATTAAGCTGTATTTCTGGCATTGGAGAGGGATTGGCTGGTGACTGCTGGAAAAGCACTTTGGTTTTCTCGATGTTAAATGATGGGCTGAACTTCTCATATGCTTCTGCGAAGGTGTTTAGAGTAGCTTGTAGGTCTTCTTCTGAGTGCGCACAGACAATGTTGTCAGCATATTGGAGTTCTGCAGCAGATGTTGTTGTAACCTTGGTTTTGGCTTTCAGTCTGCTGAGGTTAAATAGCTTGCCATCTATAGAGGATTTCCACTCCAGTGGGAAGCTTCCCATCAATGTATGTGTATATGTGTATATATTGAATTTCCTTTATTAGTAGTTTGTTCTATTGCTGCTGAAAATATTCATTTAAGTGGCCCACTTGAGCATTGCATTTATGTTTTATTACTGTAAATTATTTAAACTTATTTTAATGTGGAACAGTTTGGAAAAGTTAATTATTTGGAATAAAACTCACACTTATAGGGAGGCAGTATGTCTCCCCCAATCCTACAGTGTGTGCTGTCCCAACTGTTCATGACTACGTATTTGTATCCTATCCTGGCATTTACTAAGATGGTCCTAAATTCCTATTTCCCACCATATCCATTACCCAATCTCTCAAGGACTGTGGCATATTTGGTTTCATAATGTTTATGCTGTAGCTAGGCAGTTCAAAGATATACAGGCAGTTGTGACTAAATCTTCCTCTTGGCAACTTACTTGTACTGTTCTCATATCTAGCCACACCTGTGTCATTCAGTTTCATTCTTCCCTATACAATGCTGGAGATCCATTTTCTCTCTCCTGTCTCATTTGGCTGTAACAGCACAACCCAACCAAGAGACTCGTTGTTCGGTGAAGGGATTCGTAGTTGGCCCTGGGATAATCTGGACATTAGCATCACTAGGGTGGCATCCAGTGCAATACAATAACTTCCTCCTTACCCAGCTCTTTCCCAACCTCCACAGTTGGTGCCACTCCCTCTGATGGCATCACTTGGTGCAGCCCGCACGTTCCACATCACCCTAGTGATACCATTGTGTCTAGGTTGAATGTATTGGAACAGACTTACCACTCAAGGAAATGCAGGAACCCTGAAGGGCTGTGATGTTTTCTTTGATGGTATGCCATCTACTGCACTGATTGGCCATCAAAAAAGTTGTTGTTGTGTGCTTTCAAGTCATTTCAGACTTAGGTTGACCCTGAGTGAGGGCCGGGTAAATGACCTTGGAGGGCCGTATCCAGTCCCCAGGCCTTAGTTTGAGGACCCCTGCTTTAAAATGTTTCACTGTCACTGGGGACACAGTAACCTTTATGAGTAACATATTGGGTATAAATCAGCCAAGATCTTTTGGGCTCCAGGTGCTCCTTTCACACAAAAGAGGAGATTCTCTTGATTTCACTAATGTTGCCACAAAGATGAAGGACAAGATTTTATTTATTTGATTTCCATTATTTCTTGATACAGATTTAAGAAACTGAAGTATAGCAGCAAGTTTCAAGTCTTGGTTTATCAAAACAAATCTTTTTTTTCTTTACAACTGATTCTATTTTTTTCAAAGGTTTCACAATCGGCTATCAGCCCAGTCAAATTATCTTCATATCTCTTCTGCTCCCTTCCCATGAAGGAATTGTCTATTGTATTGGACACAAAACAATCTGTTCAGCACGCTGAAGTCTAACAGTGCAAAGGAACTTAGTGGATCCCCTAAACCTTTCAAAAGTCACTACCCCTCTCCATTAACTTACAGTACTTCTGGCCTAAGCTTCCATGGGCTACACCCAAAAGAAATATGAAGTTTTTCAGAACTGCTTGCTCAGGAATATTTTGCTGGGAGGAGTATCTCTAAAATAAGCAAGACATGAGCTTCAAGTAATAGTTAACCTCTTAACAATGAACACTCAGGTATCTCCTAAGGGCAGGCAGGTTGTGAACTGCACTGAAGTCAAAACTGACCTGAAGTTTTGGTGGTACCTTACGACCTCACGTACTTTGGTATTCAGGTTCATGACCTAACAAAAGTATTTAGGATAAGGGAGATATCTGAGCCTTTACTGAGCCTTTACTGGCATAAATTAGAGGTCTTCTACATTAACACAGACTTCACTTACAGCAACAGCTCCAAATGGCCAGATACACTGGAGTTTTGTATTCTATCTAAAGGATTTTACAATGGATGTTCCTCAAACCTTAATATTATCTAAATGCCCCAGATCAGCAAATGTCACATTAAAGCCTTCCACAAACAACAAAAAATTACATGTAGTCACTGGTGTTCAGTAAATGCAACCCATCTGCAACAGCCTTTCAACTTCACAGTAACAACTAGGTTGTTCTTCAGAAATCCAGTGTTCTATCATACTTAAAATCTAGGTTGCAGGCTACAAAATTTCCAGAGAGGAGAGGGTTGAGTAGTTAGGAAGCAGTCTAATATTTCAAAAGCAAACAAACAGAAGTCTCCAAGGTGCTACAAGAGCCCTCAGAATACTGATCAAGCTATGTCTCTGAATTCATTATCTGAAGTATATTTGTATTCTTGCCAAAGAAAAATTCACATGGGATACATAGTCTTTTGAATAAATAAGGACACACTGGAATACCGTGCACTTCTGGGAACCACAGTTCAACAGAGATAACCTGGAATATGTCTAGATGAGAGAAACCAAGATTGTAAAAGGTCTGGAAAGCAAGCCTTATGAAGAACAATTCAGGAAGCTGGTGTATCTAGATTAGAAAATATCGAGGAATGCTATAATAGCCAGCTTGAAATTCCTGAAAGGATGTTATGTAGATGATGGTGCAAGCTTGTTTTCTGCTCCAGAGACTAGAATATGAATAAATGGATTCAAATTAGAAGAAAACCAATGCTATCTAACCAAAGACACTTCTTGACTGATAGCTTTTTAATAATCTTGGAAGATGTTGGACCTCCTTTTTGGCTGTTTTTTAAACAGAAGTTGGACAGCCAACTATATAGAGTGCTTCAATTGTGTAATCCTGCATAACAGGGGATTGGCCTGGATGATTCTCCTGGTCCTGTCCGGATCTATAAAGTACCACTACCACAGCTGAATTCCCTACGTGCAGGTAGAGGAAGAGTAGTTCAGCTATCTTAGTGTCCAGTGCAAGAATGCTCTGGAGCTTTTAGTTCAGCATAAGCAACAACAGTTGAGTTTTTTTCTTCCTGACAGACCACAATTCTGCACAAATAATAACCTAGGACTGAATGGAAGTCACTTTTGGTTTGGACTTCCACAATTTGTAAGAATGGGGGTAAAATTATATAATCTGCAGTAGCCAATAATTTTGAGATCATTTTGCATTCACTATCAGTAGGGCTGTGGAAGAGATATGGTTGCTAGGAGCAAAAGTAAACAATATAAGGATTTCATGACAACATCAAGCTGCAGTCTAGATGCCACTGGCAGCTAGATGGGTCCATTCCATGTCTCTTTTCTGGGAATTAATTGCACCATTTAATTCACTCACTAATGGCCAACAGCTAGGACAATGTCTTACTACTCTGTGAGATGGAGCTTTCCAGGTGGAAACATAATTTCAGCCTGGCCTCTCGTATACAGAGACAGGATCTACAGTGATTAAGGTAGATGCTGCTACTATTAAAACTTTTTGAGTCTATGTCCTCTTCTTCATAAGGGGTTACTTGTTTCATAATAAGTACATACAGTGTTTAAAGGTGTACATGATGTGATCGTGTTCATCTACTAGAAAGTGACATTAACATCTGTTACTGTGCTTCCCTTTAGGACAGTGGTTCTCAACCTGTGAGTCCCCAGGTGTTTTGGCCTACAACTCCCAGAAATCCCAGCCAGTTTACCAACTGTTAGGATTTCTGGGAGTTGAAGGCCAAAACATCTGGAGACCCACACGTTGAGAACCAGATTTAGGATTTTAGAATCCAGTTGATTTCCTGCACTTTGAATACTAGTTCCATTAGCTTTGCTCAGACACGATATAGTATAATATTTCAGAAGTGCTTAGTTCTGACAATATCTAGCTGTAGTAACCTGTAATTGTACTTGCTAAGTAATGTTCTTCTACCTCAAATGGACTTATTTTTGGAGACGGAAAAGGTCTGCAGCTCACACATGGAAACACATGACACAAAACACACAACAACACAGAAGTGTGTTTCTTGTACTGTTAAAAGGACGACAACATTGAGGGCTGAAATCTTTCAATGCTCTAGTATGCATGAATATCTATGCTTCAGCCCTACACACAAAAACAGGGAATTGTAGGAATAAATAAAATAACGTTTTTCAACACTGTAGGAAGTTTCAGCAGGCAAACTCCAGCTCTCAATCCAAAGCAGACAATTCAAACAAACATTGCCTGCTAACAAACTAATGAGATGTGCTTCAGATTGAATTTCTACAATTTTCTCCAAAGTGATTTGCCTTTATCTGTGGAAACCCACATAAAATTGAATAAAACAGCATTAGCACCTATGCAACTGTTTGTGGTTTGCTTCCACTTCAACAGTAACAAACTCAGCACCCATTCCTAGTCATATATATTATATTAGCAATTAACCAGAATGCATCTTCATGCAGATAGTAGTCACACTCTGTCCACCATAATGCAACTCAGTTTGTTTTTGCAACACACACAGTCTCCTACAAGGAGTCTTTGTAGCCCAATACAGCGATTGAACTGGAACCCTCTGCCTTTTGAGCTTTTCAACAGAAGTTCTGAGTTCTAGATACAGTCCCCAAGCATCACTGAATTGTACTCTCATTAGATCTGAAGATTAATAAAAGGCGCAAAGCCCACAACATCCTGCAAGTGAACTAGGGCGCGCTGCAGTGGAAATTCCACATCTAGCTCCACACCACGATTGCGCAATATGCTTAGGCTAGATTCCACCACGTCATGACAGTGCTTCACCTTCAAAGCCCGTAGCTTTGGGCAATATTCTGCCACAGTCCTACAAAAAAAAAAAAAAAGTAAAATGTCAGTAACTACAGTCAGAAAGCAATGGTCTTATCAACAGTGTCTTCTAGAAAAACACAACATTACTCTGGAAGAATTGCAGAAGAATTCTATGTAGAAGTCCCCAGCATCTCCATTTATTGGCTGTCCAGATAACAGGGATGAGGAAGACCTTTATATCCTGCCTTTTTCCAAGTAATGGATTTTGAAGCATTTTACAAATATTTTAAAATATACATTAAAAGCTACACAAAAACTCAGAAAGTGATTTCTTGCATTAAAATAAGACGGGACAACAAAATTCAAAGGGCAAAGAGAGAGAGAGAAAATGACAATCGCACTGTTAACCGAAGTATAAATATAAATGCTATTCAAAACCCTAAGATAAACCTATCATGGAGTCCTCTTGGCATGATTTGTTCTTTGTAAAATACTATATACACTCATTTAAAAGCACATCATTAAAAAGTCCATCACATACATTCATAAATGTTAAAATTTATTAAAAGTCTATGTTATTGTTTATTGCCTTCAAGTCAATTCTGACTTATGGTAATCCTAAGGTGAACCTATTACAGAGTCCCCTTGGCAAGACTTCTTCTTTGTAAAGGACTATATATATTAATTAAAAAGCACATCAATTAAAAGCCCATCACTCCCTGTTTCCAAAAGTCTAATGGCATAAGAGCATTTTGACTTGGAAGGAGCAAGGTTGGAGTCGTCATGGTCTCTCTTGGGAGGGAGTTCCAAAGTCTGTAAAAAGTTACCAAGAAGGCTCTCTTCATTGTTCCCACCAAAGGTACCCGAGATGGCGGTGGGGTGAGAGAAGGGCCTTAAAAGCCTCACAAAGATCCTTCAAATAGCCTGGATTCAATCTGTATAATGCTTTATAGGTCCTTACTAACACTTTGAATATGCTTGAATAAGATTTAGGAAATTAAAATCTAAGAACAGGAATGGGATTGGGTTGCTGTGAGTTTTCCGGGCTGTATGGCCATTTCCAGAAGCATTCTCTCCTGACATTGCACCCTGACGTTTCATCTAAGGTAGAAGTTGAGAGGTCTGCTAGAAACTAGGCAAGTGAGGTTTATATATCTGTGGAATGTCCAAGGTGGGAGAAAGAACTGTTGTCTGCTTGAGGCAAGTCTGAATGCTGCAAGTGTCCTCCTTGATTAGCACTGAATGGCCTTGCAGCTGGGATTAACAGTGAGGAGAGATGTGTAAAGGTAAAAGGATATAATGCAGAGTTTGACCAAATCATATAATACGTCAAAAAGATCTATCAATATAGCCATAATCCAAGTTTATGTTCCAATGACAGAAGAAGAAATTGAAAGGTTTTGTTCTGGAGCCCAGGTGAAAATTGACAGCACACCAAAACAGAACTTTTTGTTAATTGTAGACAATTAACAAATTGTGTGCAAATGTAGGAAACAGAGCAGAATCAAAGACTGTAGGAAAATTTGGCCAAGGATCACAGAGCAGTAGGCAGAGTGATGAAATACGTTGTGAAGCTGACAGTCAGCCCATCACAAATACATTCTTCAAGCAACAAGGCTGCTACATATATGGTGCTACGGCACTATACTGGGCAGAATGCTGTGTAAGATCAACATTCATGGAAGTTCTAGGGGTTTTTTTGTCAGCTGTATGTTCTATAAATTTTATATTGTAAATTTATATGCCTGAGGGAACAGGATGAGAAGCACCCAAAAAACTTTTAAAGTCCCCCCTCCCTCCCTCTCTCTCTCTCTATATATATATATACAGCCATACCTACGGATGGACAGATTTTTTTTAATGAGCCCTCCTTATTGCGAAGAAAAGCAATTTTTATTTAAGTTAACTATAGTCAGGGCCGTAACCAGAAAAAAAATTCAGGGAGGGTTGAAAATTTGGGGGGGGGGGCTTGAAAAATTGGGGGGGGGGGGTTGAAACCTGCCCTCTAGCTCACGCTGAAGCAAAGAGCACAGCAAGGAGCAGAGCAGCCTTCAATAGCCTGCAGCTCCGCCCCTGTCAACCACCTCCACCAAGTCTGGCCTCCTTAATGAGAGCATTCAACACCCCCCCCCCCCACTTGGTTGCTTCGCTGCATCGGCTATTGCTGCAAGTAATGACAGTGTGAATAAATTGTCAATATTTGCTTGAGATAGTGCTTGCAGTTCTGGAGGGACTCTTAATTTTTTGCATCTCATAGACTTAGCATGGGGATTTGGTTAACCATTTAAAATTCATGAGTAAACCAGGTTTTTTTTTTTAACCTGAAAAATTTCGGGGGGGGGGGGGGTTGAACCCCTAACCCCACCCCCGGCTACAGGCCTGACTATAGTGGGACATTTGTAGAGCAGAAAAAAGTGCTCTGAAAATCTGTAGAAATAACCAAAAACAATACTAATAGATTGGCAAGTTAATAAAGTTGTGCACAGCTTCTACTCAGCATACAGCCATTTGAGATGTTCATAAAAGCACGTTGCTTCTGTATCCTCCCCATGGCAATTATCAAACCCTTTTCTTGCCTGTTCATTTATTTATATCTATTTCATCATCAATCCTTCCTGTAAATTTTGAATCTTGCTGAAACCTCAGAACTCTAATCAAAATCCTACATGGTGGTTTGCTGTTTTTTTCCCAGTTCAGAATCTTAATAATGCAATAGGGCATCTGTATGAATGCAGCAATAGAAAGGTTTGTCACAGCCCTTTATTGTCAATAGTAGGACTTATGATAAGGGAATGGTAATGAGTATCCTTTCAATCTTCTTGAGTAGCAAACTTTCACTATCCTTCACTGCCTATGCTGACAAGACTTCACAAGAGTTGTAGTTCAGCAACTTCAGGAGAGCCACAAGCTCCCTGTTCCAACTGGTTTATGCTCTGTCCATTATAGCCCCATCTACACTGCCACATAATGCAGTTGGAAACTGCATTATATGGTCAGTGTAGACTCATCTAATGCAGTTAAGTTATATTATATGGCAGTGTAAATGGATCCTTAGAGTCTAAGGGCCATTCCACTCAGCCATATAACCCAGAATATCAAGGCAGAAAATCCCACAATATCCGCTATGAACTGGGTTATGTGAGTTCACACTGCCATATATTCTAGATGTGGAATTTTATTCAGCTGTGTGGAAGGAGGCCAAAGAAATGAAATAGTCCAGATAATAGTTGGTATTCAGGAAATTAGTGCTGAATTCTCCACTTACTGTTATTTGTTGTTATTGTTGTTTGTTTGTTATTATTATAAATATTATTATTATCATTATGTTTATTTAGCTATGAAGAGCTATTACATAGCTAGTCACATTTTCTGAGCCTAGCATGCTTCAAAGGGTTATTACAGGGTTAAAACCATAACTGCCACTTTGAGATCACACTAGGAAAAATGGGATATAAGTGTAATATGTACATGCAATTATTTAACTCCCAGGATTATGTTACCTAATGCCGTTGTTCTTGACCCGCAGGCAGCCTGTAAGATCAAGGTTCTCCAGCTCAGGACAAGCTTTGGCAACCTCCTCTACTGCTGCATCGCCAACATTTGCATTAACAGCCAATGAGAGGGATTTCAGTTTGTGGCACCTCTGGGCAAGGTAGCAGATGGCTTCATCTTTCAGCTGCCGGCAGGCTGTAAGATCCAGGGATTCAAGCTCCTTACAATGGTCAGCCAGGCTCCGCAAAGAGAGACTGTCCACCCACTCACAATGGGCCAGAGAGAGCCGGCGTAAATTAGGGCAGCTCAGGGAAATGGCCACCAGAGCATGCCTGCTCAGCTGTGTGCAGCCATTCAAGTCAATTTGTTGCAAGTGGTGGTTTTGGCCAATAATAGGAAGCAGCTCCTTGTCAGATAGCCAGCCAGAACAGTTCTGCACGGAAAGTTGTTGCAGCACCTCATTATCTTTCAGCAGAATACAGAATGCAGCTTTTGGAATGTGAGCTCCAACCTGCCGCAAATAAGAACACAAAATTGATTATAGCAGCATCTCAAAACCCTGTCCACAATTCTCCCCTCCGACCCACTTACCAACCCCATCCTAGGAATGGCATACAGAAGAAACAAAATTTAGTTCTACTGGGGAGATGGGGCGGGATTAAATAAAGATTATTAATAATAATAATAATACATATTTCTCTAGTTTTCCTCTTCATTGCTAGAATTTATTTACTTATTTATTTCCTACATTTATATCACATCCTTTTTAACCCCCGAGGGGGGACTCAGGGTGGCTTACAAATGGCACTCATTAGATACTAACAAACAATTGCAGTACAAATAATTAACATTAAGTAAACCAACAAATTATAAAAATACATTAAAATACATTAAAATGTTGACCATTAAAGTATTAAAACACAACCAAACCCAAGTCCCCAAATTCAAATCATAATCCAGAGTTCCAATCCAAGGTCTATTCATTGACAGTTCTCATAAGTCATTGCAGTTGCTGCTCAATTAGCTGCCCAAATGCTTGGTCCCAAAGCCAAGATTTAAGCTTTTTTTTTCTAAAGGAAAGGAGAGAGGGAGTTGCCCTGATTTCGCTGGGGAGTGCATTCCATTGATGGGAGTTTCCGAACAGTCTTAAAACGCAACCCCACGTAGGGTGCGTTGCAATAATCTATTTGGGATATAACAAGAGTGTGGACCACTGTGGCCAGATCAGACTTCCCAAGGTACGGACACAGCTAGCGCACAAGTTTTAATTGTGCAAAGGCTCCCCTGGCCACCGTCGAAACCTGGGGTTCTAGACTCAGTGATGAATCCAGGATCACTCCCAAATTGCAAACCTGAATCTCCACGGGGAGTGTAACACCATCCAGCACAGGCTGTAACCCTATGCCCTGTTCGGCCTTTCAACTAACCAACACTCTGTCTTGTCTGGATTCATTTTCAATTTGCTAGCCCTCATCCAGGACAACACAGCTGTCAAGCACCGGTTCAAGGTCTGGACAGCCTCCTTAGTAACAGGTGGGAAGGAGTGACAGATTTAGATGTCATCTGCATAGAGGTAACACCGTATTCCAAAACTTAGAAGATATGGTCTTCTAAAACTGTTGTTTTTAAAGAAGGAATTCTAAGCACACAGTAACTGTAATGTGCATCTTTTTTTTTTTTTGGCCAAATTACATTTTTTTTGCTGCTATGGCACTCCCCTCATGTTCCAGCTGGCAGTGCACCCCAGATCCATTCTGACTTAAATACAAATTCAGCTTAAGAACAATCCTATAGGACCTATCCATATGATCCTATCTGTATGTAACTTTGGGACTGCCTGTACCTTTCTGCTCTATGCCTCATGTTGTACTTTTAATGCTATACTTATGCCTTCATTCCTGTATGGAAAAAGCAAAGCAGAAGCAGAACACTTGAAAAAGCCATTTTGTTATAAGGCAAAAAGACCTTTCCTTCCCCAGTTTTTAATCAGCAAATCTGTGAGAACGCAAAAGTCGAAAGTTTTAAACATCACGTGTCACACCAACTGATCATGCCCAGCCATGTATATTCCTTATTTCTCCAGAGAACTCTGGTCAATGATGAACACAGCTGTCATAATAAAGAATGATGATTCTCAAGGTTTACTTTAGGTCAGACATCTGGAAGGAAGCAGAGACAAACTGAATTGTCTTTCCTAATCAAACCTTTCTGTACTTTTAGCTTTCTTTTGACATTATTTCAATTGCTGAATAAAATTAATTCTGAAAGCCAGTGTTCATCTGTTTCCAGGGATTATCTGGAGGACTAGGAAGTGATCATACCTAATCTTCCAGCTTTTTTTAATTTCGTTGTAAACAACATCTGCTTTGCATAGGAAAAATGGCAAGAATTTATCAACGGATACATCACTCCTGATACCTGGCTCGAATCAAAGCAGCGCATGTTGGTGAGATAAAGCTGAATGAGAGACTGGAATGCCTTGCTGACTCTCTGCAGGCTCAAGAGTTGCCTCAGAGGGAGAAATGAGAGAATGTGGGGAATGAGGACATCTTCCCAAGGCAGGTCCAGAAACTGCTTTCTGTGGGGAAGAAAAGAAAAATGGGTCAATACAGCAGTTAAGGCCAATAAAGATTTGTGAATTAGTTGTCAAACTGATTAAGGCGAATAAGGAGAAATATTTACCCAACTTTTTAAAAGATTGGGATTTATTTCATTACTTTGTTATAATAATGACAAGTAATGTTATAATAAGGCGCCCTGGAAAACATGCCAGCAAAAATCCGGCCAGGAAAGGAGTCCATGAACAACAGGCTCCTCAGCATGAAAAGTGAAACAACACCACCTCCCCAAGGTCAAGTTGAGCATAGCTGGATGCCGGAGATGAAAAGAGGGAAGCCTTGCCTCTGTTTATGTCTGTCTGTCTCTGTCAATTGTATAATGACATTGAATGTTTTCCATTTATTTATTTATTTATTTATTTAACTATATTTATATATCTGTAATCCACTCTGAGTATTCTCGGGAAGATAGAGCAGAATATAAATAAAGTATATTATTATTATTATGGGTGCATTTGTAATTGTGGGATTTATCAATTAGAAAAGTGTCACCCAAAGTAGAAGTGTGCTTATATAATGTCATATAAAGAGAGTAGATTAATAAGAAATATAACTATGGGAAAAGAGTGAGAGGTTTGAACATTAGTGGCCTGGGGTTTTTTTGTCTATTGTTTTTGTGGTTTGGGCAAGTGTGTTTATTCATATGTTTTATTTTTGTGTTTACAATCCGGACTCAACTGGTACTTAGTGTCATGTTTGTAGTTGCAGGTGAAATGTACATGTGTCTTTTTAAAATGAATAGCCATAAAAATCTTTATATGTTCTATTATTCTTGTGCAACTATATACATTTTTGCTTATCTAAATAAAAAAAGAATATTAAAACAAGAAATACAGCAATAGATGGACTAATTGGACAAGACCTTTACAGTATACCACTCTGAGATTCCTGGAAATAAATATTTTGAAATTATACCATGTAACACAATATTTGTTCCTGGGTTTTCTAACTGGTACTATCATTAAAACATGGGAAAAGTTTATTAAACTGCAAAAACTGCTATCGTTTTTCAATGAATACCTCACAGAGTCTCAACCAATTCAACACTGTTTCTGGAATATAACAAGTCTTTTCAAATTACTTACTGCACTATTAAACGGGGATGACACTTTCAAACCAGGAACAGTTTTTTTTCAGATTTTGTTACAGTATTATTCTTGGGTAACTATATATATATTTTGCTTATCTGAATAAAAAATATTAAAATAAGACATCAGGAGCAAGACTAACTGGACAAGACCTTTACAGTACACTGCTCTAAGATTCAGGAAATAAATATTTTGAAATTACAAGTAAACAAATCAAAAGACCATTGTTATCCAGGAAAGTCTACTGCTTCCTTAAAGACGATCCTATGTGTTGTCAGATGGCTATCTGTTGGGGGTGCTTTAATTGTTCTTCTCCTGCATGGGAGGGGGTTGGACTAGATGGCCCTCTTGGTGTCTTCCAACTCTGTGCTTCTTCTAGGGCCTCCAGAAGACCAGAAACCTGAATCCTCCACAGATGATCCATGGATGCCCACTTCCTCTTCTTAGAGCAAAACAAAGGCCCTTTCCACACAGATGAATAAAATTCAAGATTATCTGCTTTGATCTGGAATATATGGCAGTATGGCCTCAGATAACCCAATTCAAAGCAGATATTGTGGGATTTTCTGCCTTGATATTCTGGGCGATATCGCTGTGTGGAAGGCCCCTAAGGCCCCTTCTACACTGCCATGTAAAATCCAGATTACCTGCTTTGAACTGGATTATGTGACAGTGTAGGCTCATATAATCCAGTTCAAAGCAGAATGTGGAATAGCTGCTTTGATAATCTGGATTATAAGGCAGTGTAGAAGAGGCCTAATGTTACAAACGACTCTCTTTCTCAGAGTGTGGTTTTTGGTTGTTGTTTTTTTATTGTGTCAGGGCAACCAATAGATTATATTACATTTCTAACAGAACAAAGCAAACAAACAGACAAAATACAAAATTTGTTAGTTTGGTAGTTGATTAAATGTCCTTTGACCAGTATCTGGCCACTTGGAGTGCTTCTGGTGTTGCTGCAAGAAGGTCCTCCATTGTGCATGTGGCAGGGCTCAGGTTGCATTGCAGCAGGTGGTCAGTGGTTTGCTCTTCTCCACACTCGCATGTCAAGGATTCCACTTTGTAGCCCCATTTCTGAAGGTTGGCTCTGCATCTCGTGGTGCCAGAGCGCAGACTGTTCAGCACCTTCCAAGTCGCCCAGTCTTCTGTGTGCCATAGGGGGAGTCTCTCATTTGGTATCAGCCATTGGTTGAGGTTCTGGGTTTGAGCCTGCCACTTTTGGACTCTCGCTTGCTGAGGTGTTCCAGCGAGTGTCTCTGTAGATCTAAGAAAACTATTTCTTGATTTAAGTCATTGACCTGCTGGCTGATACCCAAACAGGGGATAGTCTGGAGATGCTCTGGCCTTGGTCTTATCACTATTGGCGTGCTACTTCCCTTTCCGCAGCGGATGTACAGTTGTGTGCAATAGGTCCAGCTTTATTTTTGCTAAGCGTTAATTCTCCAGTGGTGTAGGGTGCCGGCACCCTATTCTGTGATAAGGCGGCATGTCTCATTCAGAGCCACATCCCCTGTTTTAGTGTGGTGAGATGTGTTCCACACTGGGCATGCATACTCAGCAGCAGATGTCTTCACTGTGTCTGGTTGTGATCCCCAGGTTGTGCCAGTCAGCTTTCGTATGATATTGTTTCTAGCACCCACTTTTTGCTTGATATTCAGGCAGTGCTTCTTGTAGGTCAGAGCACAGTCCAGAGTGACTCCCAGGTATTTGGGTGCGCTGCAATGCTCCAGTGGGATTCCTTCCCAGGTAATCCTCAGAGCTCTGGATGCTTGTCTGTTCTTAAGGTGAAAGGCACATGTCTGTGTTTTAGATGGATTAGGGATCAGCTGGTTTTCCCTGTAATAGGCAGTAAGCACCTAGAGCTTCGGAGAGCTTCTGTTCAACCATCTCAAAGCTCCTTGCTTGAGCGGTAATGGCACGATCATCAGCATAGATGAAACTCTCTGTCCCTTCTGGCAGTGGCTGGTCATTTGTGTAGATGTTGAACATGGATGGAGCAAACACGCTCCCCTGAGGCAGGCCGTTCTTCTGTTTCCGCCATCTGCTTCTCAGGCCCTGGATTTCAACAAAAAAGCTCCTGTTTTGTAGCAGGATTCCTATGAGGCGGTTGAGGTGGTAGTCCTTTGTGATGTTATACATCTTTCTCAGGAGGAGGCAGTGGTTCACAGTATCATAAGCTGCTGACAGGCTGCTGACAGAGTGTGGTGGCAGAGCCTTCTTTGGAGGCTTTTAAACAGAGGCTGGATGGCCATCTGTCGGGGATTCTTTAATTGTGCTTTTCCTGCATGGGAGGGGGTTGGACTAGATGGCCCTTGTGGTCTCTTCCAACTTTGTGCTTCTTGCTGGGCTTCCAGAGGACTCATTTCAGGCCAAGAACCCATTTTCATCCTCCCTTTGGATCACTCAAAACCCTGCCCGGTATCTTGGCTTAGCAACTGCAGCCTAGAACAAAGACAGGAAGGCCCAAAAGAAAATCCGGATTTTCTTTTGGGCCTTCCTGTTTTTGCTCCAGGCTGCAGTTGCTAAGCCAAGAATGGACCTTTCAACCCGTCACTCATCGCGTGGCTGAGGGACTGCAAGGAGACTAGAGTCCTTTGAGAGAAAACGAGTGAGGGGTTTTCAATCGACTCCCTTGGAAAAACACTGCTTGAAAACGCTGGGCTTCCACAGGTCCTTGTAAAGGACGGAAGGAAGGCTCCCCATCCCCTTCTCCTCTCGCCATTCTTACCTGGCCACATCCGGGTCCCGCCGCCCGCCGACAAGCTCCATCCTCAGCCTCCGCCGCCGCTGCTGCTGCCAAGACGCAGACTCCGGCTCCGCTGCAGTCGCCGAGGTGACGTCACGAGCAAAGGGGGCGGCGCGCCTTTTTGACGTTGCCGCCGCCATTTTGTGAAGCCCATAGAGTTCAGAACAAAAAAAGTTAATTCACTCTTCTATTTACAACAATCTTATCATGTCACAAGATCTCAGGGTTTTGTTTTTTTTTAAAAAAAAAAAAAGCAGAAAACTCGAATAGCGACGTGCAGAGCCCTTTCCTGACTCCTAAGTGTAGCTCTTGCTTCTCTACTATGAAAGAAATCTTGAACTAGGTACTAGTGGTCGGCCTCTTTGAAATGGGAAGTCTCTATAGGAGCCCAGTGAAGGGTTTGGACTGGGAAAAGGGTTCCTCCACGCTGCCATATAATCGAGTTTCTGGATCCAAATTATCTGTTTTGAACTGGATTGTATGGCAGTGTAGACTCATCCAGATAACACTAGTAAAGGTAATGTTTTCCCCCTGACATTAAGTCCAGTTGTGTCCGACTCTGGGGGTTGGTGCTCATCTCCATTTCTAAGCCGAAGAGCCGGCGTTGTCCGTAGACACCTCCAAGGTCATGTAGCCAGCATGAGTGCCTGGGGTGCCATCAGGGGCGGCTCAACCCATTACGCAAAGTAAGCATTTGCAGTATAGTTGATTTTGCCCAGGGGCGCTCTTGAGGCGCTCTTGGGGGAAAATAGACCTTGACATATGCGAGTTGTAGTTACTGGGATGTATAGTTCACCTACAATCAAAGAGCATTCTGAATTCCACCAATGATGGAATTGAACAAAATATGGCACACAGAACTCCCACGACAAACAGAAAATATCTATCAGTGATTGGTTGGGGAGGGGGGCGCCAAAATACTGTTTGCTTACCACTGAAAATTACCTAGGGCCACCTCTGGGTGCCATTACCTTCCTGCCAGAGTGGTACCTATTGATCTACTCACATTTGCATGTTATCAAACTGCTAGGTTGGCAGAAGCTGGGGCTAACAGTGGGAGCTCACGCCGCTCCCCGATTTCGAACCTGCAACCTTTCAATCAGCAAGTTCAGCAGCACAGTGTTAAAGCATTGCACCACCGGGGACTCCAGATAACACTATGTAACAAAATTTGAAAAAAAAATGTGTTCCTGGTTTATAACAATAATAACACTTTATTTGTACCCCACTACCATCTCCCCCAGGGATGTGGTGCGGCTTACATGAGGCCGAGGCCGAATACAACAATACAAGCAATAACAACAGTATAAGCAAATTAAAATAAAACATAGACAATAAAATATACAACATTATCAATAAGACAACACACAATTTAAAACAGTGGGAAGTCCAAATGTAAAATTAAAATTGGAAGTAATGCTGGGACATGGAGAAGAAGGTGATAGTGGTGTTTGTGGAAGGGCATACAAGCAGACCTAAAAAATGTAAAGTGCTTTGGAGGACAAGGTGCTATGGAATCAATTAAAATCTTACCAAGTGGAAGTAGAAGCCACCAAGGTATTTATTTCTGTTCCAGCTGGGAAAGGATGACGGCTGCAGTAATCTACTGATGAAGCTGGCATACATGAATACAGCAAAACATACATTTTATACTTTTTCCAGTTTGAAATTCCCACGCCCATCCCCTGAGCTGGCTTTGCAGTGATTGGTCAGGGGGACTGCTGACGTCAGTGGCCCTGCTTTGGCCATTCAGCCAATGGTGTGAGAGGAAGCGCAGCTACAGTACAGGCGAAGAAGAATATTTGTTTTCATGGTTGAGTTATGATTGGCCCTTCCCGGGCCCATTGTGCAAATGATCTGGGTGATAGCTCTGGACCCTCTAGCCCAATCTGGCTATTGATATGAAAGATAAAAACAACATCTTTACTTAAGCTGGTCTGGCGATCCAGAGCCAGCCTATTGTCCATAAGTCCTGCAGTATCAGTATCCATGATGTGATCAATTGATCCGTTTTTCCTGGGAAGGAGGAAATGTCATTGTGGGGATATCGGTGGCATTCCTGGCTCCCTCTGGAGAGGAAATATCCTTTGTGTAGAGTGATTAAAGTGTCCAAAATGTTTTTCAATTCCCAAGTGACCTGGCCTTTGGCCCTCCGAGGCTTGTGAAAAGGGAACCTTCAGTCTATTGCCTGGATTGTGTAATGTTTGGAAGGCCATTCAACAAAATCCAGACCCAGGGCAGCTTGTGGCACCTGAATCAGGAAGAGTCTCTAGTCACCAGGAGTTCATAAAAAGGTCACCTTGATTCATGTTTTATACAGACATACATAGGAATCATATAAAATCATTAATAATATATATACACTTATAGATAGGTACACATTAGGATCCATGAGAGTTAGGGGGTCCATCTTCACGTGGAGGCCTTATCCCATGGAGATCTGGGGAACACACATAGATTGGGGTCCAGGGAGCAGTCTGGGAACCTATCTTCACTCGGAAGTCAGGCTGCTCCTGGGGGAGAAAAGAGGGGCTTTTCGGGGTTCCCTTGGGTCCTTTGCAGGCAAAGGATTTGGGGGATCCCGACACACTAAGGAGAGAGGCACAGGGTCATATGGGATCCTGTGGGATGGGGCAAGAAGAGTCTCTAGTCACCAGGAGTTCATGAGGTTCATAAGGGCATTCATAAAAAGAAGATTCATTCATAAAAAATAACTGAAATTCATAAAAATTGATCTCAAAGGCCTGACAAAGGCCTGGGTTTCAGGGTGACACAAAAGGGGTCCCTGGCGCCAGCAGGCACCATCTAGGCACCATTCGAGGCGATACACAGAGCAGGGAAAAACATCAAAAACAGTGGATCCACAAAAAAGTCTTTGGTATCCACAAGGGTCCTTGTTGTGGTTGTTAGTCCTTCTGCAGATTGGCCAATTAAATAATTTAATTTAAACAATTTAAGAGGCATTATCTCATGCACAAAAGGGCACTTCCCTGGAATTACACTCATATGCACAAGCTGCTCCTGAAAACTTCTAAAATCTTTTTTAAAATGCTTAAGCTCTGGGTTATATCAAAATTATTTATTTATTTATTTCTGGTATTTCTACCCTGTCTCTTCTCTACCCCCGGAGGGGGACTTAGGATGGCTTACAATGATACAATGCCAATACATAACAATTACAATAATAAAACCACAATTAAATACATAAAGTAACAATTAAAAAGCTGTACATAAAGCATTAACTAAAACAGTAAAATGAAAAGAAGGCTTGCAATGTGTCTTAACATGAGGCAACCCACATGCTATTGAAGGGACAACCAGTAGATGTCACCTGTGTAACACAGATTTTAAAGCAACTTCAGATAATGGTTGTGTGGGTGTTGCCTTCAAAGAATCAAGCAAGGCAGCGTGGGATAGTTTAATGTATACTGTGGATAGACTTGAGGTGGAAAACTTCTATGAGAAGAGGGCTTTTATTTCAGAATGAATTCAGAAAATTGCAACTGATCATTTTCTGTTTCATATTTTAACAGGATTTAGTAGGAAAATCTTTTTAGATTGCTATGCATTCCTGTGTAAATTTTAAACATTTGCTGCCCACGATGTATTTTCACACTCTACTTGCTTACTTGTTTTCTTCTGAGAAGAGGGATTGAAGAGGCGCAAACATCTTCAGCTACATAAACTCTTGTTACTGTTTTTAAGGTTTTAAAGGAATGATGCTCTTCTGCGTAAGCTTTGTGTCAAATGTATATCAGCCTGTTACCACAGCTTTGCACAAAATGTGCCTCTCCTAGGTCAAGCCCAAATTTTTTTGCCTTGTTCTTCGGTGTCAGGGTATCCTAATCAGATACAGAAATAATATGTAATATCTGATATTTGTTTCAGGCAGATAGTGGGTTCGTTGCTCGGGGGTTGAGAATTATAATTTCTTTCCACTTGAGAGACAAAAGCGGAAGAACAGCAGTGGTTCATCTCTCAAGAATCTTGAAGGAAAGAACAGGGACTCCTTACTTTGACAGATGAGAGATGCTAAGCTGAAGTAGATGCCTTGAGGGGATAGGAAATTGCAATATCCTTCCTCTCCCGAGGAAAACAATAGTGACAATTTTCTATTGAGCATCCTGGAGAAAGCAGCAGTGGATTCAGGCTTATGCAGATAAGGATGTGAAGCAAAAAGCAGGCCAGGGTTGTTGTTGTTGTTCATTCGTTCAGTCGTCTCCGACTCTTCGTGACCTCATGGACCAGCCCACGCCAGAGCTCCCTGTCGGCCGTTACCACCCCCAGCTCCCTCAAGGTCAGTCCAGTCACTTCAAGGATGCCATCCATCCATCTTGCCCTTGGTCGGCCCCTCTTCCTTTTGCCTTCCACTTTCCCCAGCATAATTGTCTTCTCTAGGCTTTCCTGTCTCCTCATGATGTGGCCAAAGTACTTCAACTTTGTCTCTAGTATCTTTCCCTCCAGTGAGCAGTCGGGCTTTATTTCCTGGAGGATGGACTGGTTGGATCTTCTCGCAGTCCAAGGCACTCTCAGAACTTTCCTCCAACACCACAGCTCAAAAGCATCGATTTTCCTTCGCTCAGCCTTCCCTAAGGTCCAGCTCTCACATCCGTAGGTTACTACAGGGAATACCATGGCTTTGACTAGGCGGATCTTTGTTGCCATTCTGATGTCTCTACTCTTCACTATTTTATCGAGATTGGACATTGCTCTCCTCCCAAGAAGTAAGCGTCTTCTGATTTCCTGGCTACAGTCTGCATCTGCAGTAATCTTTGCACCTAGAAATACAAAGTCTGTCACGGCCTCCACGGTTTCTCCCTCTATTTTCCAGTTGTCAATCATTCTTGTTGCCATAATCTTGGTTTTTTCGACGTTTAGAGCCTGTCAATCAATGTTTTCAAGATATTTTGAACTGAGGGCTACAGGAGAAGGGATATAAACTCCTAGAAGCCTGCCTATTAAATGGTTAGATTAGGTCAGTTAGGAAAAGGGAAAGAGTGGAGATCAGAATAAGATTGGGAGCTGAAAACGTAGTTAATCAAAGTGGAAACAACAGTCACAAAATCAAAAGAACATTAAAAC